TTTTTATCAAACTCAACTAATAAGTCGCCGCTCCGAGAGTCTGTCGTCTGTATCGTGTCTAATTTCTATCGTGGATTACACCGGTGCAGTGGTGCAGTTAATCCTGTGCACCCCAAACACTGACCTAACCTATTTTACATTCAAAATTGGAGCAGTGAACTCTATAAATACTTCCTATTCAATTTAAGTTCGTATTAGTTCATTGAATTTGATTATCCTGCGACTATCGATAGTTGCACTTTGCACTATCGATATTTTCGATTGTTCTATTTTTTTTGAAATATCGATACTATCGATAAACTATCGATAATATCGTCACCTCTACAAACTTGCTTCTCATTGGACGCTCACCTGCAGCCTACAAGCGACGCGCGCAGTCCAGGTAATAGGAGATCGGTCTATTATCCAGCGATGTGTCAAATATGGCCGACTCTTGGCATAAATGTGCCCATAACCCTAAATTTATTGTGTCATCAGTCATCATCCCTTGTGTTCACCTTCGACGTTGGGAATTTTAAAACAATTAATTCCAGCTTTTCACAAATTTCCTTTCAAAATATTTCTAAATAATTGTGAGTGTGTGTTTTTTTAGGTCTCAAAACTCATAAAATTAAGCAATAAGCAGCAAAATACGCAGTCAACACAGAAAATGACACACCATGCATTCGGTATTTTGATCAGAGTTCTCCGAGCTTGAATTTACCGTTCGTTTATTCAAAAAGTGTACTCGGAGCAAGCTCATTTGCGATCCTTTCCTTGCGTTCGGTATTTTGCTCAAAGTGTAGAGCGAGCTGAGCGGAGCCGTAATCACGTGACCAGCGAGCGAACGGAGCAGTTGAAAGCTGTATAAAAGTACCGGAAATTTTAATAAACGAACGCGAATGAGGCTGCACCGAGTACACTTTTTAAATAAACGAACGGTAAAGTCAAGCTCGGAGAACTCAGACCAAAATAACGAACGCACGGTTTATTGAAATTTCGGGCACTCGGATACTGCGTTCAACTGCTCTGTTAGCTCGCTGGTCACGTGATTACGGCTCCGGTCAGCCCGCTCTGCTCTTTGAGCAAAATACCGAACGCAAGGACAATATTAAACCAAGAAAATCTTTTGTGTGCCAACAATCCGTCAAAAAAAGTCACGTGGTTTGGATTGCCTAATTTGTGTTGTCAACAAGTTGATCTGGTGTAAAACGAAGTCAAGCCATTGTTAAGCCAACATAAATTGGCAAACAAATTTATCAATTTAAATGGTCATATAAAACTAGCATTTTATTATACTTGCACTTACTCAATTTCAGGCCTTTTCATTATCTACTCCTAAATTTCCTAGAGAAACCTTAACGCATGTTACGTTTTAAAAGTAGGGCATGATCATTTGAAAAATAGGGCATTGCCCCTAATGCCCCGCCCCCCTGGCTACGGCCCTGAGCTGATAAAGTACCGTAGTGTCGGTATAGGTACTTTGCCATCCAAGGTGACTTTGCCAGAGTTGATTTTTTTTTTGTAACAATATTTTCTGTAACTCCAATGGCAGAAACCTAGCAAAAGTTGTAGGAACTATTAAAGAAAACAAATCCTTTTGCCAAAATATACACTTCAATAGATAAGGATTGTGAAATTTTGAAGTATTAAATAAATATAGTTTAAAAAAACTAAAAAACACGCTTTTATAGTAAATTGAAATAAAAAGTGAAAAATAATTTTTAATATAAACAGAAAATATTATTGAACAAAAAATATTAGAATTATTGTGAAAAAAGCGTGGGGTGCTCAATGTACGAGAAATGTGGAACAAAGCACCCCACGCTTTTTTCACAATAACTCTAATATTTTTTGTTCATTAATATTTTCTGTTTATACACACATCAAAATAGTCTAGGGAACAAGCTGCAACTGAATACATTTGTAAATTGAACAAAATATACTTTTAAAAGATTTTTAAATTTTGTTAAAGCCTGCTGGAAAAGCAGGTATGATAAATTTTACAAGATTTGTTCGACAAATACCCATATGGTATCTTTTTAAAAAAAGTTATTTTGTCTAAAAATTAAAAGACGAATATTTCTTGTTCCCTAGACTTTTTTGATGAATGTATTATAAATTATTTTTCACTTTTTATTTCAATTTACTATAAAAGCGTGTTTTTTAGTTTTTTTAAACTATATTAATTTATTTTTCACTTTTTAGTTCGATGTATTATTTTGTTGTTCATTTTTTTATTTTGAAGAAAAAACTTTAATTCTTATTTGTGTTTTGTTTATATTTTGTGGGATTATTGCGATTATGGGAGGAATGGTTGTGGTTGACATTGCTGTCATTGTCATAAAGACACAATCAAAAAATTATGGTGTGACTGGTGCGACACCTGTGTCCTTATTCTTGAAACAGGGGAGCAGTGTTCCTAGGAGAACGAGTGTTCCGTCTTTCTCAATGATATGAAAATGATAATATGTATAAGGAACAAAGACGGAATACTCGTTCTCCCGGGAACGCTGCTCCCCTGTTTCAAGAATAAGGACTCTGGAGTGTGCCCGAAGTATTTTCTGAACGGCACAGAGTGCGCGCACCATTTATCATTTATAAACGGCTAGTGCGTCGCACCGGTATCACACTCACACTGGGTGTGTCATTCCTGAATTCGCCACAGAGATTTCCAGACTTTTGCAGACATTATCCAGACTTATTCAGAGCTTTCTAGAAATTTCCAGATTTAATCCAGATTTATCCAGACTTGTACAGACTGATCCGGATTCTGGAAAATGATCCCCAGATCTTTTGGGACCTTTTCCAGAATTTTTCCGACCCTTTCAAGAAGTTTCCAGGCCTATCCCAGACGTTTCCAGAGATTTACATACTTTTCCAGACAATATCCAGACTTATCCAGAGTTTTACAGACTTCATCCAGATTTATCCAGCCCTTATCCAGACTTGTACAGACTGCTCCGAATTCTAGAAAATGATCCCCAGGTCTTATGGGACCTTTTCCAGGATTTTTCCGACTCTTTCATGAAGTTTCCAGGCCTTTTCCAGACGTTTCCAGACTTTTACAGACAATATCCAGACATCCAGAGTTTTACAGACTCTATCCAGATTTATCCAGACTTGTACAGACTGATCCGGATTCTGGAAAATGATCCCCAGGTCTTTTGGGACCTTTGGCAGAATTTTTCCGACCCTTTCCAGAAATTTCCAGGCTCTTTCCAGATGTTTCCAGAGATTTCCAGACTTTTCCAGACATTTTACAGACTTTTCCAGGCTTTATGCAGATTTATCCAGACTTGTTTCCGCTCACTTGGCTTGTTCCAGGTTCTTGTTCATACACTTCCCAAGAGTCCAAAAGTTCGCACGCATTCCTATGTGCCCGTGCGATAAACATTTTCAATGTTACTTACAAACATACATATACATACATACATACATACATACATACAAACATAAATACAAACAAACAAACATACAGAGGTGAAGCTTATATAAGCGTGTAAAAATTGTAAATAGTGAATGAATGAGCGCCGCCGCCGGGCCTCGCGCCGAGCTACCAGCAGGCAGAGGCGAAGTGCCGAGTTTGTTGTGGAAATCGCAAGTGTAGAGTTGTTTTTTGTTTTGGTTGTTTATTATCGGGATTCCGCAAGCGGCGAAAAATCAATTCGAGTCGGTGTATTATATGTTTGTGTTCCGAATTCAAGTTTGCACTATTTAAAGCGTAGAAAGTTAGCTTGTTTCCGGAAGGCAGAAAATGAAAAACGCAATTATTATCCTAATATTTATTTCGCAGAACAGCGCCGTCTAGAATTGAAAATGAAAGCAGCCGCAAGGAATGTATTGATTTAAACATGAGATTTTTTATATTGAAGGTAAGTTATAATTTTTTATTCAATTCTTCTATGCCTTTAATTTTTAAATTTAAGCATCACATGGTGTTTGTTGATCATCATAACATAATGGATAAGTATTTCGATTTCGTTCAATAAGATTTTGTTGACACATTGGTTGACACCTCGTTTGACACTAACCTTTCCCAATTTTGTTATTTTGTATTGGTGATCGTGACTTCTTAGAGATCATGATGATAAAAAAAAAATATATATAACATAAATAGCATATTATTATAAGGGTTTCCTTCATGTTTTCTTTCATATTGTTTTAGATAGGTAAACAATTATTATAATACGTTTCTACAAATAGATTATCGTGCGAATAGATAATGTCACTGGGTCAGTCTCACTCAAGTCATACCTACCTAGTTCATTAAATGAAACGCGTGCGAACGCGAAGCCAAGCTCCTAAAATAATTATAGCGGAGTAAAAACGCCGGCGAAAGACGCTTCTTTCTGGATTTTTTTTTTTTGAGGTAGAACCAAACGAGACTTATATAGCATTATTCAGAATTTCACTGGCCATATGAAATGCAACTTCACGACATCCTCAGTTGGGGCTGACTCATTTTATAGCAAAAAATATGTCAATAATGACAAAATTGTAAAAACTTACTTTTTGACATATAACTCACGATATCTTCAAAAGTATTCTAACTATTGAAACGATTTTTTTTTTGTTGAAAAGAAGACACTTCAGCGGTTGTAACGGTGTATGACAAGTAGTCATTGTCACCTCAATTTTTAAAAAAAAAAAAATAATAATATTGATAATCATCTTTTATGCATTGCTTTTTTCAGCAATCGAAAAACTTTTTTATTTTTGAGAATTTTACCATATATCCTGCGAGTGAATTAAAGTAAAAAGTATATAGAAGTTTTTAAAAAAAAAATCAGTTAGTTATCAGTAACCGATAACGAGATAACTGCAGCTGAACATAGACCTCCCTAAATATTTTGCTCTGTCGGGTCGGAGCGACGCGGCCGGCGTCCCATCTGAGACGAGAACGGCGGCATGCCAGCCAATAGTATTGATCAATTTGGCGTTTGCCGTTAAGCTGATATTCTTTTTTTGGGTTCAAATTCGAGTTTGTGAGAAAAAGTTAGTGGATAATTTTTGTGCCAACATTTTTTGTTCGTGTAGTAGGTATACTTGTACTTACATAATTATATTTACATAATATAATATTCGATTGTAACCTATAGATTTGAAGAAGACATTCTAATGGAGTGCATTTTGTGTGGAAAATCCATTGATGGATTACAAGACGAATCGGTAGTACACAAACCAACAAAACAGGGTCTACAAACCATCTGTAGTGCTGCTGAAAAAAGACAGGATACTTTTGGAATACGAATTTTAGAAAAAAAATACGCTATTTTAGATGGAACTTTAAAAGTAAAATTTCATAAAACTTGCAGAAAAACGTATACTAGTAATATGAATATTGCTTCTGCCACCACCAGTGAAACCGATGATCTATTAAACCAGGCAACTGCTTGCTCTAAAACCACCAGAAGTCACACTGGTTCCTTTGATATAAGAAGTATGTGTTTAATCTGCAACAAAACTGGACCCAGAAAAATTAAGCAAAAGAAGGAAAAATTAACTTCGGTACAAACAGGTAAGTAAAATTATTTTTACTTGAAGCATGTTAAATTCACAAACATATAACAAATATCTCATAATAAAATCTCATTTTAATTCAGTATATTGTAGGAAACTATATTTTATTTGAAAAATATGCTAATAAGTTACCTAGATGTAGTGAGATAAGAACAAATAGTATCTAGGTTTTTATTTTATTTTGAGGAATATTTGATTTCATATACCTAAAACATTTTTTTCCATTACCTACCTATTTGTCTTATAGGTTCTGGCAAAAATACGTTTAAAAAAATAATTGAGGCTGCCAAAGAGAAAAATGATATATCAATGATTTCAAAATTATGTGGCTTCGAAGATTTGTTTGCTTATGATGCCAAATACCACAAAAGCTGCTATACCCACTACATATCGCGGCGAAATATACAAGCCACAAAAAATGAAATGAAAAAATCTTCGGATCAACTTCCGCAAACTTTATCGAAATCAGAGGAGTATTTTTCAGATGAGTCCGATACTACAGATAATGAAAATTATTTCACGACGGAAAACAATCATGATAGTGGCATACAAGTAATTTAACATAAGGCAGCTGAAATACTGAAAAGGGAAATTCGCAAATTTCAGTCTGAGCAAAAAGAGTTCCCCATGCCTGAAAACATTTCTTCATCTGAATTTGAAAAACAAGTGCCCAAATTACTTCTCACATTTATGTCTTGGCTAATAGATGATAATGCTTTTAACAATGTGGAAAGTGAAGTGGCAGAAGCAGTTATACCTTGCAGCATTATTATGGCTCTGGTTTCAAAAATTTATAAAAAAAATTACTTTCAATTTGGATTGGGACTGTTCATACATCATACAGTTCGTAGTAAACAACTTTTGGAGACTTTATCTGATATTGGCCTCAGCTGTACCTACAATGACGTTCGCCAGTTAACAACGGCACTTGTGAAACAAAAGGTCCATAAAGAACAAATTTATATACCACTGGGTATAGATATGGTTAGTCCTTCAATGAAAAATTATATCCATGCAAGTATGGATAATTTTGATCTAAATGAACAGACTATTGATGGTAAAAATACAACTCATAGCATGGCTATAGTTGTGTTTCAACAGCGAAATAATGATCGTAGTTTTGCACGTTCAAATATTTCCAGAGAAGGACCTTATTCGCTAAACACAGAAGACTTAGATTTTCCTTTCCAAAACATTTTGAAGTATAACAATCCCCCTAATCGTCCCAAGCCCTCATCATTCAAACAAATTGTTCTTAACAGACAAGAAGATGAAATTGCAAAAAAAACCAATCTAGCCTGGACTCTTTTACGAAACTTTAATGGCGGAACCCCATTTTTTAATTGGTCCTCATATAATAATATTTTATCTGATAATGAGATTGTCGTTTCGGATATTTTTTACTTGCCATTTTTAAACAACCCCCCTACAGAATACGATACAATTTATACTTCAATGATACGCTTACTTCAATTAGCAAAGGAGCTTGATCAAAATCATATAGTAATAACAGCGGATCTTGCAATCTATTCCAAAGCTAGAGAAATTTTATGGAACGATCCACCAGAACTAAAAGGCAGTGTAACATTAATGCTTGGAGGCATGCACTTGAATATGGCATATATTGCTAGCATAGGCTACATTTTTGGTGACGGCGGTCTTACAACTATGCTGACTGAAACTGATGTATATGCCGAAGCTACATGTAAACTTATGATGGAAGGTAAACAGTATTCACGGGCTATTCGTGGATTGACTTTAGCTGCTGATGCCTTATTCAGATTGTTTTTCAAATCATTAGAACATTGGTGTAACAATCCAGAATCAAATAAATTCCTAACTCAGGAGCTTAATACTTCTATAGAAGATTTGAGAAATGAATTTAGAAGCCATAAATATGACAAGCATAAATTTGATAAATTTCTTGAAAAAATTGAGACGCTCCAGAATATCATCAGACGTTTTGTTGAATCCGGCTATGCCTATTCAACATTTAAGTTTTGGCACTCTTTCCTAATAGCAGTTGAGCTTCTCTGGAGACTGCTCAAGTCAGAAAGAAATGGAGATTTTCAGGCACACTTATGTGCTGTATATGATACACTGCCATATTTATCAGCTGCTGGACGAAATTTATACTTTAAATGGGTTCCAGTATATATATCCGATATGGAGAAATTGAAAGTAGAAGTCCCTGACATGTTTGAATTTCTAGCAGCTGGTAATTTTGTTGTAAAAAAAACCAACGGAAAAAAGTTCAACTGTGTGGCCTCAGACATGGCTCTCGAGCAATCCATTAATAAAGACTGCAAGAGCTCTTCTGGAATAATTGGATTTTCTAAACAACCAGGGGCTCTTCTACGATGGATGACAACAAGGCATATATTGGGAGATTATTCTAAAAATTTTTTGGGTAAGTAGGTGATCATTTAACTAACAAACTTTTTTTCTAAAATATTTTATTTTTATCCACAGAAGCCACCTCAAAAATAGTCAAAAAAGGAAAGAAAGAAGCGTCTCTGCAAAGCGACTCTAGGATGGAAGGAAAAAATGAAGAAGATGTTCTAAAAATCCTCAATAGCATAGAGAACTATTGGTGTAATCCGTTTGATCTAGATAATGCCCCAGACCGCTTAGTTAATATATGTACAGGAAAAATAGTTAACGAAGAAGTAGAGAAGAGTCTGGGAAATTTCTTAGAAATTGCAACAGAGAAAGTCCAACATATTTTGAATAATCCACGTGAAGAGGATTTCTGGAAACCTGCGAAAAGAAACAAAATACAAACTTTCAAAGACACCAAAGTCAAGCCAAAAGCCATGGCAAAAAAAACGTTCATTGGATCAGAATGCATGTTTCGTCGGATAATATGTGCAGCACGATTTCAAGAAATGGACTTGTCTAATATAAATTATCATATGAGTTGTCTTCAGTTCCAGCATCTCTATTTCATGAAGATGGTTCTATGCGTAAAACGACAAAATCCGACTTGGCTAAAAAACTTGAGTCATTTACTGAAATAATTACAACTATTAACACTAATGTCAACTCCTATGTTATTGATGGAATGGTTTTGATTCGGGAAGTAAATTTATCTTCGATTACAACATTCAATGACTTTGGACGAATGTTTCTGGGTAAAATTTTAAAAGAAGGAAGAAAATACGGCTCGAAAAGAATAACTGTCATATTTGATACATATGATGCGAATTCGCTCAAGAACACCGAAAGATGTAGACGTGGAAATTCAGACACACCCGAATTCCAAGTATCTGGATCAAGGAAAGTACCAAAATTTGACATTTTTCTCAAATCTTCCACGAATAAAACCTCCCTGTTATAGTTATTTATGTATCAAGGGAATTATGCAGGTGTTAATACCCCAGGGCAACGTTTGTGTCCCGAGGGCCTCCGGCCCGAGGGACACCAATTGCCCGTGGGTATTAACTCCTGATAATTCCCGTGGTACATAGATAATTTTATATCCTACTGAATTTACTGTATTCTGTCTATTTTTATAAAGGAATAAGCCATAATTCAAAATTTCTATTTTTTGTCAAAGTGTTACCTATTTAACGTAAAAGCGGGAGTTATGGAAATCCTTAACTCCCTTGGGAGTTATGATATCCTTAACTCCCTTCCTTAACTCCCTTGGGAGTTATGAAAATCCTTAACTCCCTTGGGAGTTAAGACCCTGTTTATGATTATCGTAACCAAGGTATTATATGGTTTTAATAGTTCAGTAGGATATAATAGTTATTTATGTATATAAGGATATAAAAATTTTTATATCCTACTGAACTATTAAAACCATATAATACCTTGGTTACGATAATCATAAACAGGGTCTTAACTCCCAAGGGAGTTAAGGATTTTCATAACTCCCAAGGGAGTTAAGGAAGGGAGTTAAGGATATCATAACTCCCAAGGGAGTTAAGGATTTCCATAACTCCCGCTTTTACCTTGAATAGGTAACACTTTGACAAAAAATAGAAATTTTGATTTATGGCTTATTCCTTTATAAAAATAGACAGAATACAGTAAATTCAGTAGGATATAAAATTATCTATGTACCACGGGAATTATCAGGAGTTAATACCCACGGGCAATTGGTGTCCCTCGGGCCGGAGGCCCTCGGGACACAAACGTTGCCCTGGGGTATTAACACCTGCATAATTCCCTTGATACATAAATAACTATTAACCAACTACTTTGTACAGAACAGCCCAATATTATTAAAAGACGATGAAACATTTATCATAGCCGGAGGATTTGAAAATCCAAAAGAGGCATTGTTTTTAACTAGATCCGATTATCCAAAAAATGTATCGTCGTTGAACAGCAATCAAGAGGAAGCCGACACCCGGATAATTCTTCACGTTCTAGCAGAGGTTGAGTTCAGCAAATCAATTATTGTGAAATCCGTGGACACGGACGTTTTTCTACTACTTTTACATTATTACAGTACCACTGAAAAATTATCAGAATGTTGTTTGTATATACAATTAGGACATAGTAAAAACAAACCTTATATTGCCATACATGATATTGCAAAGAAATTGGGTCCCCTCGTTTGTGGAAATCTTCTAGCAATTCATTGTTTAACAGGCTGTGATACTACCAGCGCGTTTTACAAAATAGGATATGTTGACAAGGAATATCAATGTACTAGCAGAAATAGGAAATCTTCCTAATTTAAGCGAAGAAGAAGCCATCGAACTAAGTACTAGATATGTGTATACCTTATACAAAAATAAAAATAAGGACATTGTTAATCTCAATGAAATGCGGTGTTTTTTAACGTCAACAACCAACCGCACGGCAGCAGAACTTCCCCCTACAGATGACGCTTTTAAGCAGCACCTTAAAAGGTAGCTTTATCTGTTGGCTTCATATTTGCAAATAATAGTTATAAAAGTTATATTTTAGGTGTATATATCAATTAAAAATTTGGTACTCCAGCCATCAAGCGGAAAATCATTTTGAAGATCCCAGTAGGTACGGCTGGATATTGGAGGAAAATGTATGGGTGCCTGTTTTATCAACCCAAGAACCTGTGCCAGATAATTTACGAAAAATTTTATCCATTCGCTGTTCCGACAAAATCTGCAATAACAGCAGATGCATTTGTGTTACTCAGGGATTAAAATGCTGTACTGAGTGCAAATGCAAATCCTGTTTAAACGCAATTGTAATAGAAGATGCAGACTCGGATTCTGATTCATATTAAATTTAAGATTCATACGACACAAAAATCATAGTTATTATTCAATAATATGTATGTTGTTCCACGAAAAATAAATTCCACGCCTTACGCTGTGCCCCGGAATGCAGTCGCGCTTGATATTCGGGCCAACCGGCCGGCCGGCCGCGTCACTTTTGAAAATTCAAATTCAAATATCTCGAAAAGTATAACACATAACTGACTAATTTTTTTTCAGAAAACTTCTATATACTTTTTACTTCAAATCACTCGCAGGACGTATGGTAAAATTCTCAAAAATAAAAAAGTTTTTCGATTGCTGAAAAAAGCAATGCAGAAAAGATGATTATCAATATTATTTATTTTTTTTGGAAAAAATAGAGGTTACAATGAATACTTATCATAGACCGTTACAACCGCTAAAGTGTCCTCTTTTCAACAAAAAAAAAATCATTTCAATAGTTAGAATACTTTGGTAGATATCGTGAGTTATATGTCAGAAAGTAAGTTTTTATAATTTGGTCATTTTTGACAAATTTTTTGCTATAAAATGAGTCAGCCCCAACTGAGGATGTCGTGAATTTGCATTTCAGATGGCCAGTAAAATTCTGAATAATACTACATAGGTCTCGATTGGTTCTACGCTCAATTTTTTTTTTGAAAGATTTCGCGGCCGTTTTCACTCCGCTATTAAGATTATCAATGTGCAGTGCACGCAATCAATACCGACGACGTCCTACGTCCTACTTTTCTAATAAGCAGAATTTAAAATTGAAACTTTCAGGATATGTCAAGGGTTAATAAAGGTAATCAAAGCCACTCTTGAAGTTGGAATGTCCTGAGAATGTTCTAAAAAAAGATTGTGATTGTAAAAACACTGTTTGCAATACTCAAAAACTTCCTGGAATCCATTAGGATATTCCTAGAATGTACCGATGAGATTCTCAGTACATCCTAAAAAGAATATTCTTGTTTGATTCTAGAAATATGCTTGAAATGTATATTCTCACATTCAAACTCGATTGGAACCTATCTGTGAAAAATATAAGTTAAGAGAAGTTACAATGTCTTTAGTATTTGTTATAAGGAATTACCTTTCATAAAGGGGTTAATGATGTTCCACTGTTTTCTTGCATCATTTCCAGCCCTTTCCCATTTGTTTGAGATACTTTTTTGGTAAATTACCTTTTTTTAAATTTTTTTACTGTTTTTCTTATTTCTACGTTTAGTTCCCTTATGATCTTATAATGATAATGTAATGGACTATCCTCTACCCTAACACTATACATCTGTATATTATTGCCGAAGAGCCAATCACCTGAACTATCAGAGTGGCTGTGGTATCAGTCACTCTAGTAGTTGCCTGACCTATCTCTATCTTATTAACTATTGCGAAACCATTTAAAGCTATTAAATTTTTGTATTCTTTGTTTATATTACAGTTACCTAGTAAGTTAATATTTATGTCACCCATTACAATGTGATTTCTGCGATGGTTAGGTACCATCGTCACCAAAAGTAACTGGGACAGCATCATGTTAGCTCTTGTTCTATTATATGATTTTAGGTGTCAAATATTTGTCAAATTATGAATTAAATACCTATATCAAGTTAGCAATACCACATGCACGCCGGAATATGGCGTTAAGTGATTAATTTGTCGCTTTTTTGTCGTAAATTTGTCGTGCAAAAAATAAATTTGTCGCGTTTTTCTTTTTTCTTGAATACCCTGGTAGTGCTAACTTGATATCAAGTTAGCACTACCAACGTCACCCGATGTCCCTACAAAAGTTTTATAAGGTGAATAATTTGTCGTTTTTTTGTCGTAAATTTGTCGTGCAAAAAATAAATTTGTCGCGTTTTTCTTTTTTCTTAAATACTCTGGTAGTGCTAACTTGATATCAAGTTAGCGCTACCAACGTCACCCGATGTTCCTACAGAAGTTTTATTAGGTGAATAAATTGTCTTTGTTTTGTCGCAAATTTGTCGCGCAAAAAAAAAATTTGTCGCGTTTTTCTTTTTTCTTAAATACCCTGGTAGTGCTAACTTGATATCAAGTAAGCACTACCAACGTCACCCGATGTTCCTACAGAAGTTTTATTAGGTGAATAATTTGTCGGTTTTTTGTCGTAAATTTGTCGCGCAAAACAAAAAATTAAATTTGTCGCGTTTTTATTTTATCTTAAATACCCTGGTAGTGCTAACTTGATATCAAGTTAGCACTACCAACGTCAACCGATGTTCCTACAGAAGTTTTTTGAAGTGAATAATTTGTCGATTTTTTGTTGTAAATTTGTCGTACAACAAAAAAGTTGTCGCGTTTTTTTTTTTTTTTTTTTTTTTTTTTCTTAAATACCTTGGTAGTGCTAACTTGATATCAAGTTAGCATTACCCACGTCACCCGATATTCCCACAGAAGTTTTATTAAGTGAATAATTTGTCGTGCAGAAAAAAAAAATTGTTGCATTTTTTTTTCTTTTTTAAATACCCTGATAGTGCTAACTTGATATCAGCACTACCAGGGTATTTAAGAAAAAAGAAAAACGCGACAAATTTATTTTTTGCACGACAAATTTACAACAAAAAAGCGACAAATTAATCACTTAACGCCATATTCCGGCGTGCATGTGGTATTGCTAACTTGATATAGGTGAATTAAATGCATTGAAATGAATGACAGTAGACTTAGTCCAGGAGATTAATATAGGTTTGTTCCAACCGGCAGTAATTTCCAGTAATATTACTGGCACACATGCGCAATTGTGAAATGCTGTTCCAACCAGTTAAAATTACTAATTTGGCGATAATTGACAGTTCGTC